ATATCATAAGGTAGGTACCTTACTTCTATAAAATGTAGAGGATGTAATAATTCAGTCGTCAGGCGAGGGTCTGAATAGGATAATTGTTTTCGTAAAAACGCACACAACTGATTATTAGCTCTTACTACTAACAAGCTTTTCTTTGGTTTGACAACGACCGAAAGAAAAAAGCAAATTCCATTCCAAAAATAAATATAACACGACGGATAACTTCGTACTTGTGAAAGAAAGTCGACGTTCTTAAAGTTCACAAAGCTTTGCGCAGTCTGAAGTAGCTAAAACTGAGACGTATTCACGTGGAAATTAATCTGTTTACATAGGGGAGGCGAGCAAAGAGACTGCTCAGATCGACTTGAGTTAGGCTGTTACGTAAAATGTGCCTTCTTGTTTTCTCGCGGACGTGTAAAAAGATTTAGGACAATGGAATACCTTCAATGCGTGTTTTAAATTTTTACGCCCTGCTTCACGGCTTGCTCACACAATTGACCATATTTGTCGGAATTAAGCTGTGAACTCGGAGCTACTGTGTAAGCTCACAACATGACTGCGTTTTGCAAATCAGAAGGTTAAAAATTCAATAACCGTGCTCACGTTTTATTAAAAAGAAATTATTCCCCTTTTCCAGACACTTTTACTCAGCAAAGACGTATTATTACAGTACACAACAGGTAAAGTGATTGACCTGGTTTCAAACGATGTTCAGCGTTTGGAAGGAGAGACAATCAAGTGGATCTTTTTTGGTTTCCTTACATTAATTGAGCTCCTCATTGTTCCGTTTTTGATGGTGTACTACATTGGCTGGCAGTCTCTCATGGGAGTACTCTTTTTGTATCTTCTCCTTCCATATTTCGTCTTACTGTCCAAAGGGGGCGCGGTTCTGCGATTGCAAACAGCAGCGGTCTCTGACCAACGCATCTCTCTGATGAATCAGGTTGTCTCAGGGATACGTGCTATCAAAATGTATGCGTGGGAAGATGAATACCGCCAACAAATCAAGAAACCACGAAGGTATGTAAAGATATTATGAAACTAATTGCTCGATACAGAACTCAAGTTTCATGCAGGCTGTTTAAGACGCCCATTGATGAAATAATGTTGTTTTTGTTCTTACTCGATTCTAATTGTACTTCTGGCCAAATGAAAGCAAGCCTATTTCTTATTTAACAGCCCACCATTTCCATATTTTGTTCCACTACTTCCATATTTCGTGCGAAATGAGTTATTATGCATGATAGTAGTTTTTTCTGAATGGTACAAACTTCATATATTGAACCAATAAGATCGCCTAGAACACCAAGACCACTAAGTATGTATGTCATCGACTAAATCGTTGTCAAAATATCCCAATTTTACTTGTCTTTTTTTCCAGAGATGAAATTGCCATTATTCAAAAGATGTGTGTTCTACGCGCAGGTGTTTTGGCTCTAAGATTCACTTCTGTCATCATTGCAACACTGTTGTCAGTCATTACCCTTGTGCTGACTGAAGAAACTCTGACACCATTCAACGTTTTTGTGTTGGTTTCATTTAACAACATGCTCGCGATAGGTATCGGCACTTTCCTCGGGTTTGCCTTGTTAGAGGGATACGAAGCTTACGCCTCGCTTGGCAGAATTGAGGAATTTCTCCTTTTGAAAAATTTGCAAATCAGTTCAAGTGATCGTTCAAGCCGAAAAGAAACAGATAATGAAGCGAGGAACTCATCTGAGATAAAGAGGAGTTCAGTAAATTGCCAGGAAAATATTGGAGGTTCTTCCACCTTGAATGAATCACAAGATCAAACGATATTGCGTGTAAGAAGTTTGGCGTACAAGCAAATGGAGCGACAAGACTCCTACATTCTTCAAGATATCGAGTTTTGCACACCTGCAAGTAGTTTAACAGTCATTACCGGGCCAGTTGGTAGTGGGAAATCTACTCTTCTATCTGTGATCGCTAGTGAAGTTCCATGCACACACGGAGAAGTATCCTGCCGAGGATCTTTAGCGTATGTTCCGCAGACAGCTTGGGTATTCTCTGGAACCATACGAGCCAACATTTTGTTTGGTTTGTCATACGATGATTCAAAATACACCAGAGTAATTGAGGCCTGCGCTCTGACTGACGACTTCCAGCAGTTTCCTGATACTGATCACACGCTTGTCGGCCAACGGGGTGTTGTTTTGAGCGGAGGTCAGCGGGCTAGGGTTAGTTTAGCACGCGCAGTGTACGCTAATGCAGATGTGTATCTTTTGGATGACCCTCTGAGCGCCGTGGACTTCAAAGTTGGACGACACATATTTGAAAAGTGTATCAAAGAACTATTAAGCGATAAAACTCGGATGATGACCTCTCATCAAGAAGACCACATGAAAGACGCTGATGAAGTGATCGTGTTGTGTAAGGGGCGTGTGCTGGAAAGAGGGAGTTTCCTGGAGCTGCAAGACAAAGGAATCCTTAATAAAACTATTGACCCGCTCTATATGAAGATTTCAAAAGACAATGCAGGTGAGAAGTTTGTCAGAGAGAACGAAAATGAAAGTGTTGGAGCTGCTGCCTGCTTGGCTGGGATGGAATCTCCGTCGAAGGAAACCAGGAGTCTTCTGATGCCACAAGAAGATCGGGAAATCGGTGCAATCTCTTCCAAGCTTTACTGGGACTATTTCAGAAGCGGAATGTCAACTTGGATGATTTTGGCGATAATCCTTTTCTCTTTAATAGCCCAAGGTAAGACTTAAAAACAGCCTCTCAGAAGGAGCTTGCCATGATTACGCAAACTTCATCTTAGAGTCCAAAGTAATCCAAGACTGGATTGCATTTGCAGCATGTTTTACTTAGAGGGCGTAAATTATCCCTCGAAAATCTTAACATTCCCATCTAGTATTGACCTACCGGCAAGGATAAAAAATGTTGAATTTGTTCCGATTTGAAATACATTGGATGCAAAAATAGTTTCTTCGTCTTTCCTAACGAGTATCAGTGTGTGTGTATCTAAAGTACATCAAGTTAGCAATTAAAATCTTCGTTCCGTTTTATACGAAAGACAATCAACACATAAAAAGTTTTTGCCTGCTTTCTCTTTCCACCCAGGGATGTTGGTTGCTCCCGATGTGTGGCTCTCGTTCTTGACAAAGCAACTCCCTCAAGATCAGAAAGATCAATCAAACTTAGTTATCTATGGATGTCTTGCTGTTGTATCCCTCATGTTTATATTGACAAGAACATATGTATTACTCTCCTGCTTCTTGCGATGCTCTGAGCGTCTTCATGACAAGATGGTCGTTGGCACTTTACAAGCTCCTGTTTTATTCTTTGATTCGAATTCCGTGGGAAGAATCCTTAATCGATTTTCGAAAGATATCGGCTGGTTGGACGAGCAGTTACCAAGGAAATTTCAACTAGCGATCGACTCAACCTTAAATGTGCTTGCATCACTAATTGTCCCAGCTGTTATGAATCCTTGGCTTATTTTCATACTTATACCGTTGATTTCGGTTGCAATATACCTGTCCACGTATTATTTGAAGACATCCAGGGAACTTAAGAGGTTAGCGTCCATAAGTCGTAGTCCAGTATTCTCTCACATTTCGGAGACCCTTGATGGACTGGAGACGATTCGGACCAGAGAGCGACAAAGTGATTTTGTGGATCAGTTTTACAGGTGGGTTTGCCTCGTCTTAATTAATTTTATACAACTTGCATCTTGGCTTAGTACAATGGATTCTCAGACATTAACTGCTTGATTTATAGAGATAAAAGAAAGACGCCATATCGTCATTTCCATAAATAGTTACTGCAAGGTAATAGTATTTCCCTCAGAACAAAACGGGCACCTGACATCCTCGGCTCGATTTCCGCCGATCTCTCGTATCCGGTCTTCGCTCTTCCCCAAGAAGAGACGAGAAGCTGATAAAGAGCCTACCGTCATCTCAAATAGACGTTGTTTCTGATCCCCTATATGTTCAAATGATCAGAAAGCAATGAATAACCCACTAATTTTGTCCTGTTCACTTGCTTTCTTAAAGACATCATGATGTTCTGAATCAAGCAAACATCTTGGTAATGGCCGGTGGGAAATGGATCAGTGTGCGATTTGAAATTCTTGCATCCTTATTTGTTGGTGCAGTGGCTTTCTCAGCTGTTATTATGTCTCAAGATGCCGGTGAGTTTGTATTACAAAAAGAAGCCAGTCCCTAATTCGATTGAGTGACCGAAGGCGCAAGAAAACCCAAATACTTACAGAGTCTTATCAGATTGAAGGTGATCAGTGGAAGGTGTAGTATATTACATTCGCTCAGAAATGAGGGAAATCAAGGATTAATATTGTGCGTAATTTTAAGTACTAGTGGTCAATCGAGTCGTTAAGTGGAGTAAATACTTTGTTACATCCATTTTTTAAATCACTGGTAATCCTTGCAATCTGATTGACTCTTATCGGTGCAATTTCCTCGCACCCATTTTTTGCTCTAATCACATCTTTTTCCCAACAAACAGGCCTCCCTCATGCCAACTTTATGCAGTAGTCCACATAAATGAATCTTCTCAGGAAAACCCCTTGTATTGCCTTGTTTAACTTTCCATGGCAAGGGCGTGGCAAGGCTATTTTTTGACTATTTAGTGTGGAAAATCAGTTAAAATCTTCTTTGGTTAATCTTTAGTTTCAATTTTTCGTCTAATTAGCTTTTGCTGGACTTGCCTTGGCTTACGTTGTTCAAAGACTTGCGCGGTCTCATTACGCCATCCGAACAACCTCAGAGGTCGAGAATCTAATGACGTCAGTTGAACGAGTTATTACATATACCAAGCTTGAATGTGAGCCAGGATACATGATCGAACGGCGACCCCTGGAAAACTGGCCAAATGAAGGAAATATCTTATTCAAAGAAGTATCCTTGAGATATTATCCGGGAGGACCACAAGTGTTGAAGAATATCAAACTCAATATCAAAGGAGGAACAAAGATCGGTGTCGCTGGCCGTACTGGTGCTGGAAAGTCATCTTTTGTGGCAGCTCTAATGCGCATGCCTGAATCGTGTGATGAAATAGTCATTGATGGAATTCCAGTGAAGGAAATCAACCTCCAGGAAACTCGACGATGTATATCCGTCCTTGGTCAAAGTCCAGTACTGTTTAATGGATCACTGAGGAAAAATCTGGATCTTGTTGAGCAGTTTACAGATGCAGATTTATGGCAAGTTCTACAAGATGTGCAACTGAAAGAATCAGTGAAAAGTCTTCACGGGCAACTTGATCACGAACTGTTGGAAAATGGTGCAAATATCAGTGTTGGAGAACGACAGTTGATTTGTTTGGCTCGTGTGCTGTTGCAACGAAACAAGATCATCGTCTTGGATGAACCTACTGCAAATGTAGATCCAGAAACAGAAAAAACAATCTTGGGCGTAGTGCGTGAAAAACTGAGAGACTCTACGGTCATCACTATAGCTCATCGATTGAACACCATCAAAGACTGTGATAAAATTTTACTTTTGAAACATGGAACGGTAGCAGAGTTCGACAAATTTGACACTTTGGTGAACACAGAAGAAAGTGAGTTGCGTGAAATGGCGCGAATTGCAAGTTCCAAAACAACGTAACTTCAAATAGCCTGTTAACTATTTCTCAGCCACTTTCTGTAATTCCTTTATTAGCTATCTTATGTAAGCACGTTTTGTTCACAATATACTGAACTTTACCAGCTGGTTTTTATATTTTAATTATTTGTGGCTCGTGCTACTTTACCATAAAGAAGTGTTCCTCACTGTTTGTCACGTTGATTCGTATCAGAAAGATCGCTGTTTCAGTATACTTGTCGACCAGTATCAAGAGAGCTATAGTAGCAGCTGGAATATTCCTTTAGAACTTTTTTTTATCCTCATTGAAGTATTTTCTGTATCGTAATTTAAGGGCATAATAATAATGTAGGGCTTTCTGTAGTTTACGATAACGATCTCGACCTCGAATTTCGTCAGAATAAACTACTTTTTGAATCAAGTACAGTTCTGGTGTGACTGAAAATCATTTTTGAAATCAGATTACGGCCGAAAAGTAAGTTCTTGGGAATATGGGAGCTTGTGTTGCACAAGTCTACAGGATTCGCTGCTATTTATCTCCAAGTAAGACATGCCAGGAGAATAAAGAATCATATAACTGATCTCGCTATCACGTTTTTTGTGCCAATATGGTTTAAAGTCTAGTCATTTCCACCCGTTATAGACCTTGTAATCCAGACTGCCTCCATTTACGGCTTAAGGCACAAACTTAAGTCGCTTTTGTGAAAGTGATGACCATGTTATTTTCAGACCAGCCGGCGCTGCAGATGGACGATATTTTAATTCAAGGTTTGTTTTGGGGGTACCTAAGATGACATTCAATTATAAAGGTGAGAACTTATTCCTTAAAAGGTATTTGAAAAAACACATATGGCCCTGTCTGAAAGAGAGAATAGAGATCGGGGTAACAACATGACAACAAAACGTAACATTCAAAATACCTTCTAGCGTTAAGAAAGCCAAGACACGTTTTAGTCTGGTGTTTGAACCTTGAAAAACAATCATCAAAAGACAAGAATTTCTTCCTTTTCAACACATATAATATCGCAAACAATAGTACAATCTCGATGGCTCGACTTCAGCTGATCGATGGCATTTATTATCCGCAAGAGAGAGTGAATCGTACATATGAATTAGCTAAGACTTATAGAACCCTTATGCAGTTTTCCCGTGCTTGAGGTGCACGACGTATCATTTGTATGGGGTCATCTTGAGTGACAGTCAAAAGAGAAATTATCAAGAGCGCTTCAACAGAGATATCTTATTACTCTACGCCTACCAAACAACGAGATACACGGCAACGATGAATTAATGGGAACGCAGACCAAAAAGATACAGAGAGCAGTGTCAACTGGTGTTGGTGTGGATATCAAGATAAGCAAATCGCACATAGCATTTACGTCATGTTGTGAAAGAGATAGCTCTCTGTTTAGCAGTCTTATGACTCTAGCTCCAAGATTATTGTCCAATGTCGGCGCTAGAGTTCTTCCTGGTTTTGCAACAGTTGACACTGGAACTATCAAGGAAAAGGTCGATATGAGCAGAGAATTAATTATACAAGACGCTTTAAATGATAATAACCCACGGTTACAAAAAAACACCAAGAAACTGATTTCGCTATTTATCTTAATAATAAATTAACTCCGATGAGTATATATTATTCAATCAATAAAATAAAAACTAACCAGTTTGCTGTGAAGCTTTTCAACACTGGAACACAGGATTGTACAGATCGTGTTATTGTGTCTAATGATGGCGATTTTGGATGGGATTCATTTCATGAAGTTTTGACCGTTAAACATAGCATGATGGAACTTGATCCTCTATAATGACGGTCTGAATACAGATAAATCAAGCGCTTCAACCTTACTTTATGGGTCTGTTAAGTCAGATTGAATATTTAAAAACAAATGGATTGAAATTGGCATTTCGTTTATAGTATATTTCAACGTTGATGAATCGGTAAGAATTGGAATTTCGCCAACAGTTAACATAATTCTATTGGATGGTCTTGATTATTCGACCACAACAATATTGAAATTTGTTTAATGTAACGTCATTGTAGATGGGAATATTTAATGAAAATTGAGACAAACACATATACTCAAAATCTGACGTGGACACTCTTCCCGATCGATAACAAAGTTTGTAATACAGATGTGTATACGAAATCAGACATTCACACTCTCTTCGTTGAGAAACCTCATAAAACAGACTTATACATGAAATCAAATGTTGATACTCTTAGATGACAAATCTGACAAAACAAACTGAGAAGTGAAAATAAGCCCTGAAAAAAAGTCAGGCCGTACGAGATTTGAACCTATGACCTCTGTGATACCAATTAGGAGCTGGTCATTACGTTGGTTCCAAAGAAACCCGTGAAGTGATGAATAGATGACTGTGAATATATTAAAATCGTATCTTTTTTTCAGGCCTTATTTTCACTACTTTCTGCTTACCGCGCAAATCGGTTTTATGTTTAATTCTTTATCCGCAGTTCACATATAAAATTTTCATATGTTTACAGACAAGACTTTACTATAAAGGAAAAATGGCTCATAATAATACACAACAGATGGAATTTTATGATAATACATCAGTAAATCACAGCATCAATGTGAAACAGTCTAATGACGTTCATTTTATTTGTACTCAAACGATAGAAGGAAACTCAAAATAATCATCTCTGGTTTGTATATGTTGACAATTTTCGATGGATACAAATCGACTCAAAACTCACATATACAATTGAATATTGATAAGCCGTTTCACCAATTGCATTTATAACATAGGCCTTTTTATCGTCACACTCTGACTACGATCAAGTGACACCATAAGAACGAGAAAAAAGAAGAGTTGCTCACTTTGATTTCAAAAGAAATTTTCAAGTTATTATGCTTTCCTACGCCTGCTTTGGCCAACGACGAGGAATATTTGGGGAAATTTGCATTGGAAGGAGTTTTCGCTTTTTTATACTTCTACACATAACATGGTCCACTTACAGTTAGAACGAACATTAACTTTGTCATGTGGTGATTAGATTACAATTATAGAATTCTCTATCCTCCTGGCATGTCCTCCCTGGAAATAAATAGCAGCGAATCCTGTGGACTTGTGCAACACAAGCTCCACTATTACCGAGAACTTACTTTTCGGCTGTGATCTGCTTTCAAAAGCGATATTCAGTCACACCACAACTATAGTTGATTCAAAGGTCGAAGTCGAGATCGTAATCATAAATGACAGAAAGATCTATATCATTCTTTCCCATTAACTACGATGAGGTAAATATCTCATTAAGCGCGAGAAAAGTATTAAGGGAAACTCCATCTGCTACAACAGCCGCTTTCCGTGCTGATCAACATTGATACTGATACTTAATCATAAGAAATATTCCGTTTTCCTCGTTATCAGTTATGATTAAGTCAACGGGGAAATGGTCTTCCCTAAGGAAGCTCCAAATAACAACCCACATCCTGTAATAACGGTCAAAAAACAGTTTTTAGCTAAGTACAAGTTAAAAAGCGGTTTGCAAACTTCTTTGAAAACGCAAATATACTTAAAACCTCATTTGTGATCTGAATTTTGTAAAATTTGATCTCCATAAATCCTGCCTAAATTCCAGTGAAGTCTGTCTGTTATTGATGGGTGAGTAACTACTAATAATTGTTATTTCGGAAGTTTCGGAAACTGATGTATATTACTTCTCACAAGATATCTTAGTATCAGATAAAACTAGCTTTCTCTACCTTCCAGCATATCTTAGTAACTAAAGCAACACCGATTACCTTTCTTTACATGACTATCAGTTTTACGACTATTAGAGTACCTCATTTTATCATCCAGCTGCTCGAAAAAGGGTACAAATAACGCGCAAACTTTCTCCGGGTTTGATTAACTGCTCGGATAAAGTGCACTTACGTGATGGCTCTCACGTGAGCGAATGCAGGTGACCTCCACTATAGAGTAATCGTATCCCATGGAGACTAATCTTTCCAAATGGAGGGTCTTAACATGTTTTTGCTCCAAGCAAAACTTGCCATTTACTCGCCTGTAATGGAAGATATATATAATAGGACATCAAAATTGGAACATTCAGGAATTTGAAGAGGTGGTGAATTTCACAAAGGCATTCTTCCCCATCAGCTTACCACAGAAACTCGCCGGAGATTGATGTCAATCAATGTAAGTGAAGCTTAGGTAAATGCACGCAATTGTTCAAAATCAAGGTATTGACGTGAATGGCAACGTTTTTCAAGTGAATAGAGATTTTGCGTGATGATTGTCACCCTGTATGTCTTGTGCAACTTCTGCCACAACATTCACCGTCATGAGGTGAATCCGGAAAACTCGAACATGTGAACTTGACTGACTAGCTACTCTAAGATGCTTCTTGCAATATAACAACACGGTTTGACATATGACCACGAGAATGTGTTCAAAACATTTCAAAAAGTTCTCAAAATGGCGAGAAATGAGAGGATATCGCATTCACTGTGACATTTTATTGGCTTTGTTTGGTTATGTGAAGGTGCCATGATATGAACGCGCAGACGGGAAAATAAATTTCAAACCTCGGGTATAGATCATTTTCAGCATTTTCCCGTAAATGTGCTCGATTTTGGTCTAGTTCAGTAGAGAGGAGACTTTTCGGGGGAATGGTCTCACTAAGATAGGCTTAAAGGCATAAAAGGAAAGTTCTATCTAATACTAGGATATCTATCAATTGTCCGTGAAAGCTTCCACAAACAGCCGAAAAAACAACTTGAGCGGAAGTTGTTCACCATTAACAACAGACTTCCTTGGATTTGAGGCAGGATTAATGGCAATCGAATTTTATAAAATTCACACCATGGATGGGGTTCTTACGTATGTTTGCAAAGCGCTATTTAATATGTCTTTTGATAAAAAAGGGTTTTAAGCGTTATAAGAGGATGTGGGAGGTAGTTTGGAGAAAACAATGACATATTAGTTTTTAACATCGAGATTTTTTTAAAAACCATTTCAGAACACGTTCTGTAAAACTCAAAATTAATTAAATT